CTGGGAGGCCGACGCGTGTGCCCAGCGCGTCCGAGTGCCGCTCAGCGCTGCTCAGGACGGGGATTCTCAGGTCACCTCAGAGGGACACCGCGTGCAGCAGGACTGCCCAGGGCCTCTAAGGGCGCTAGTGCCCTCGTGTCTCGGGAGAGATCGCGTCGCGGTTTCCGACTTCATTTGCCCACAGACCCGTGTTCCAGGAGACGAGGATTCCTTGGCTCACGTGTGGAGAACGTGCTACTGATGGAGGCGCTGGGGTCGGGGACGCACAGCAACTTGTCCCAGCCCACACTCAGCGGCAGCGCGGGGTGGCGCTTCAGCCCTGGCATGGCCCACGGCCGGGCGAGGCGGCCTTCAGAGGGAGCGCAAGGCCACCTGCTCCAGCCCTGGCCTCACTGGACTGGTGACTTTTTTATATTTAGTAACAGCCCTCTAGCTATTTGGTAACTGATGAAGAGAAACATTTCTATTTTAGAGTTTCTATTCTAGAGTTTTGGTAAGGCTTTTACAGGTAGAGTCAGATAGCGTCACTTTTATATTTCCGGGTGTTGAAGCTGGAGGCATTTGCCCTCTCGTGACATTTTGCATCGATGGTTCATTTCTAAAACCGCCGAGTTTTCTATTCGGTAACGGTTCCCTGCAGAACAGATCTGTGATCTTTCTCACAGCGAGCAGGCCCTGTTCTTGACGCCTCCTGTTAAGGGGAAGGAGGGACTCTGTGAGTGCTGCATGGACCAAGCCCAGGAGACCCACGCGGACCGAGCCCAGGAGGCCCACGCGGAGGACTAAGAATCCGATGTGGCACAGCAGTCCAGGGGGACGGTGTCGCCGAGTTGGTTCTGAGACTCTGAGGCATCGAGCGAGCGGCCTTTCACTGGAGAGGAGAGGTCGCGGGGGGCGTGCGAGAGCTGAGGACGCTCTCCGGAGCCAGGTCTCGTGGCCTCGTTCTCGCTTGTTGCGTAACCTGGCTGCCCGTGTGGGACTTTCTAGATTGATCTTCCAATGCTCTTGCCCCTCCAGGCAGCGTTTACAGGCCTCCAGTGTGGCCAGACACCAGTTCTTGTGAGGAGCTCTGTTCTTTCTGTAAAGTGCACGAAATTCAATCTGTGCTTTCACGCAGCCTCTGATTTTACTTATTTTAAATATGTTTTTATTGATTTTTTAGAGAGAGAGGTAGGGAGAGGGACAGAGAGATAGAAACATGGATGAGAAAGAGAATCATTGATCAGCTGCCTCCTGCACGTCCCACACTGGGGATCAAGCCCTAAACCGAGGCATGTTCGACCGGGAATCGAACCGTGACCTGTTGGCTCATGGGTCTACGCTCGACCACTGAGCCACGCCGGCCGGGCAGTAGCCTCTGATTTTAAAAATCAAAGTGTCTCCCGTTCAGATTTATGATGATGTTTCGTAGGTGTTGTTACAGTTCAGGCTGATGTTTTGTAATTGTATTTGCTGGTGACACATGACACATGCACACGTCAGGTGCGTCAGTATTTGTCTCCCTGCCCTCCTCTCCCCAGAGGCAGCTGGTGTCCCGCCACACGCGTGTGACTGAGGGGACCCCGGGCCTTGCCTGTGCCGGGCACGGAGGTGCTGACCAGCCGGGGTAACCGTCACCATAGAAACAGCTGGCGGGAGGGCAGCAGAGCCGCGTCTCCCAGGTGTTGGCTTTAGTTATGCTGTAGAGGACGCCGTGGATTGCCCGTGTCTGTTATGAGGACTGTGGAAAGCTGAGCCATTAAAGCATCACTTGTGATGTGGGGTGCCTTTCCCTGGGGTTCGTTTGACTTGGGGTTCGTTGTGGTGCTGCTCACAGTTCTAATCCCCATCAAGCACTGTGTGGCTAGCTCCCCTAAGACTCTCTCCCCCTTCCTTCCTCCTTCCCCATCTCCCTCTCCCCTGCCTTCCTTCCTTTGCTTAAAGGCCTGTACCCGGGTAGATGAGCACTCGGTGAAGCAGCTCTGTCCCTCAGGAGGTGAGCTTCGTGCCTCCAGCCGCCAGAGGTGCAGCTGGGGCCTCCCGGAGCCCTTGGCCGGCCACTGCTTGCGCCAGTGCCTCACCAAGCTCACTGTCGTCAGCAGGTGGGAGGGGCTCTGACACCAGCAGTGCCGGTGAGACTCCCGGAGGTGGCCAGGCCTGAACAGTCGTGCCATTCAAACGCCGTGTTTAAAAGGTTTTAGGGCACATTTTACACATCTCAGAAAAGGCTTTGTGACTTGGGTGTGTCGTTTGCCAGTGCTACTGAGGGATGGACTAGAGGGGAGGGCCCGTCTGACACTGAGGAGGATGTTTGAATGTGTGACTTTTTAAAAAACCCAGAAACTTAACAGATTTGAGATTTTAGGAGGTTTAGAATAGATGATGGGTTACATCAACATGTGTAAACATGTGGGTGAATTAAAACCCCGGAAATGATGTCCAGAAGAGAAGAAGGGTCTTACGTGATTCTGCATGTGATCATCCCCGAGTTAGAGTGCAGGTTGTTAAACCACTTTCTTGTCCAGCAGGTGGAAGGGGCCGGGCGCTCTGGCGTGATGGGCGTGGGGTCTGGAGAAGCCCGCAGTGAGAAGTGTTTAGGCGACACCAGGAGCCGGCTGCCTTCCGAGCCAGCCCACTGGGTATATTGACGAGGTAACGGGTGGCTGTGCCCCTGGGTGTTGACCCAGGGCCCCCACTTGGCCATCGCCCCTATGACGACCTTGCTCAGAGCAGCCAGCCCGTGTGGTCTGCCCAGGTACGGTCCACAGCAGCCGTGTAACGGCGTGAGGACAGACCGTGGAACCCATAGGACCAGCAGATCCCCCTCGGAAGGCAGACCCACAGGGGTCAGACGTAGTAAGAGCCCTGCCGGGTGGGCAGAAAGGACAATGTTGCTGTGTCACCCACATGTCAGTGTCATCAAACCAACACGTGATGCACCCCCCCCCCATCGGGCCTAACCTCACCCAAGTGACAGGACACCCGGTGTCGGCCACGGCCGCCCCTTCCTGGACGCAGGCCCGAGCGCCTTTTCCTCTCGGTGACTCCTTTTCTCATCTTCGGTTCTTGACCGGAAGCCCCTTCGGGAGGCGTGCTCTGCACTGAGATGTGTGAGAGACTGCAGCCTTCCTGTGGCCCAGGACTCCAGTTGTCTTGAGGTAACTGCGTATTTTTGCTCTGACCCCTGAATGTGCTACCTAACGCGTCACCAGAGATTAGGGATGAGGATGCACTCACCAGGAGAGATCCTAGGAGGGGCCTTCTGCGGGGCAGCTGCTATTGTTTTAATAATTGGGGGGAGGGGGGCTGGCTGGCTGGCGTGGCTCAATGGATAGAGCCACTGGACTGTGGCCTGTGGACTGAAAGGTCCCAGGTTCGATTCCCACTCAGGGTACATGCCCGGGTTGCAGGCTTGATCCCCAGTAGGGGGCATGCAGGAGGCAGCCGATCAATGATTCTCTCTCATCATTGATGTTTCTATCTCTCCCTCTCCCTTCCTCTCTGAAATCAATAAAAA